TTGGCTAGGAAGTGTATTTATTAGCATTTAGCAGTGTTTAGTAAAAGTGTTGTTTATTTGGTAGTGAATTTATTTAGTTAGGGAAGGGCATTTAGCCATCTTCGATGGAATGGTTCCGATATCTCTTCCCTCCTTTGTTGGGAACTAATCGATCATATTTCTCGATTTGAAGCGCACTCGATACTCCACACATACGTTGATAGTTTTCTTAATCCCTAAATATGTTTTGGGTGACCTCAAGACTACCAATGGTGGAGGGCATGCGTTCCGGCAAAAAGAGGCTGAGGAAGGTAACACTGGCAGGTAACCTCACATACACCGGAGTTGTATGTGAAAGACAAAAATCGTATGTGCGCCAAAAATTTGGCTGCATATTAAGCATAAGTTATGACTTAAGGTCCCTACACGCCCTGTGCTAGGAGGGGGTAGATCTTACCATGCGTCACTATTAAGTGTTGCGTGTGAGACGTATATGTGTGCTGGCAATGATGACATGTGATAGCATGGCATGTCGCGCATGTCCTGATGTGAAACATCAGGTATCCGCAAAAATGCGTTTTGTTTTCTGTGTTAAAGCACCTGCGTTCGACGTTGCTGAACGTTTTGAGCTTGTGTTCGTTTGAGCTCCTGTTCGTCATTTGCTAAAGATACAACCTTCAGTCTGCATGAAGACACCGTCTTCTGCACATTACAGCGCCACTTCAAGAAGAGAACAAAGAGGATAATTAACCTAATAGGACCTAGCCAAAGGTCAGGGTGGCCTGGACTGGCCTCTGTTGACCCAATCTATGCGTTTGAAGCGTTTATCATGAGGGTGTTGTCGCATATCAAGAGTATCGAGAAGGTAAACAAGTCATGCCATCGATACTTTCTACGATACTGGTTACGATAGCGTTAATGACAGGAGTGACAGGAGTAACAGGAGTAGCAGGAGTGACAGGAGTGACAGGAGTAACAGGGGTAGCAGGAGTGACAGGAGTGACAGGAGTAACAGGAGTGACGGAAGTAGCAGGAGTGACAGGAATGACAGGAGTGACAGGAGTGACAGGAGTGACAATGACAGCATTCTGACGGGAGTTAGACGAGTTTGCTGCAAAGCGTTTGCGACACACCCTATGCTTACAATATCAAAATTGGTGGGAAACGGTGAAAATACCGAAATAAAGGTCGCATTCTTTGATTCTACACAATCGCGGATGAGATTTGAGTGTCAAAATTTGTCGAAGCTGACGACTCTGAAACGCGTTCCGCAAACTTCAATTCATTAATATGTAATGCAGTCATGATATCATCTGTGACACCGTTATCCTGTCCCGGCGCGCACGAGAAGGCGGATGGATAACGAGAAGGCGGATGGATATCGAAAAGGCGGATGGATAACGAGAAGGCGGATGGATAACGAAGAAGGTGTTAATCTCCAGTGCTATGCCGGTAAACCTCAAACGCATCTATGCCGTTCCGCTGGTGTTCTTGAATCGTGTTAGCATAGCCCTGTGCGGTGAATAACGCTTGAAATCCACGGAGGAGCCCTTCCTTGGAATTTCGTCGGGCTGAGGCCCCAAAGGGAAGGTTGTTGTTCGAAAGCCATGTTTGTTAGATCAAGCAATTTTAAAACATGAAGCGCCCACTCAATAGCGGAAAACATGAAGCAAATAAGAGTTTTGTCACAGTTAAACACATTCGGATTCACTCGATTTCTTCCGTTCGTTAACGTGGTGATTTCACTGCGTTTGAAGACGCAGTTTTAGGATATTCTCCACCGGCGGGTGAATGCAAGATTTTGAACATTGGGTTGCATATAAAAGCATACAATGTTAAGCCAAGCCGTATAATGCAATTTGTAGCATTTCACGTTCAAGCCCACGTACAGTATGGCTCAGATCAGAGGTATTGAATGTGTGTCCACAGTAGCATTAGCGTTATCCTCGGAAAAAAAACAGGAGAATGGAAATATAGATAGAGATATCACCTGGTTTTTCGGAGGAATAACGCTAATACTACTTTCTTATCTATGTGAATTATGTTCTTCGGTAATACAGTGGACAACTTACATAACAGTGAATGTGTGGTTTGAACGCAGTAAGCGCATTAAGATTTTATAGAGAGATCCTACTCTGGCGAAGATTTCACCGTGGCAGATTTCGAAATATTCCGCTGACAGCCGCTGAGCCAACGCTTGAGTCCGTCCATCCGTCCCTTCCTTCCTTCCTTCCTTCTGTCCGTCCGTCCGTCTGTCCGTCCGTCCGTCCGTCCGTCCGTCCGCCCGCCCATCCGTCCGTCCGTCCGTGCGTCCGCCCGCCGGTCCGTCCGTCCGTGCGTCCGTCCTTTCGCCCGTGCGTCCGTACTTGCGCCCTTCCTTCCGTACGTCCGTCCTTCTTTCCGTCCGTCCATCCGTTCGTCCGTCAACCCGTCTGTCCATCCGTCCGTCCGTCCGTCCGTCCTTCCGTTCATCCATCCTTCCGTCCGTCCGTCCGTCATCCCAGCCGTCATCCCGTCCGTCCGTCTCTTCAAGCACTTCGGCATGCCAAGCCTAAACTTGGGCCGCCCGTCTCCCAGCCTTCTCGGTCGTGTGCTCCGGTTCGGTGGACAGACTTCGGTGCCGGTCTCGGGCCGATCCCGTACAGCGCCGTCGAAAGTAAGCAGGGGCCGGCGGCTCGACCCGCGCGTCAGGCGCTCACGCGTCCTTTGGACTCATGTTATCTAGCGGTCTGAGCTATGGATGGGGCGTATACTCGGCATCAAAACTTTGAACAAATGAGCAATACTGTTGATTCACCTTTGTGAAGTGATGACCTGCGTTCGAACACGGCACAATGCCAGCACACTTATCCAGGCTGCTTTCATCAGGGGCAGGGTGCCAGTGTTCTCGCTCTGAACGATGCGGGCACGTTTCATCTGCACAATGATTCGTGCCGCCATGCCTTTTCGCTGAACGCGTGGTGCCCCGCGCATGGAATTGCGGAGCGGGGCCGCAGGTCACAGGCTTTCGTTCTCAGGCCTTTGGACCAGGTGCTTTGTTCTCCAATCTTCCTGAACTATCAGCTGTTAACGAATTTACCTGCCCAGACCACCTTTCCAAATACGTTGGAGCAGTCATATCCGTATGTGCACTATCTGCATCTGTATCTACTCCACACAACCCTATTCGCATCTACTCCAAACCAGCCACTACTCTCCCATAACCCAGCACTGCCCCCCCCCCCCCCCCCCCCACCCCACCCCACCCCGACCTCTGACCCCTCTCCTTCGGGCTGACAGCTGGCAGGCCCTTGTTCGCCGGTCGGCTGTCCGCCACGCCGCCGCCCGCCGGCTTGAGTGCTGCGGACCAGTCTGCCCCCGCAGGGGTGGCGGGGCTCCACTCGGCCTCCGCCGGTACAGCATCGGGCGCTGCGGCTGGTGATTGGCGGAGATGTGGGGTCGCGCCACGGAAGCAGTGCTTGTGTGACCGGTATTTAACGGTCTTTTGACAGCTGGCAAGGAAAGCCGAGGTGAAATAGGTTAGGATTATGAGGGAAAACTGCACGGCTTCCTACATTTTCGGCACAAAAGGTCTACTTGACCTTTGACACTGGTGACGGCCGAGGCATTGTATCACCACATCGCTATATGGATGTGATCCACCTCCCCCACCCCAACCCCCCACCCCCACCCCCGTCGGCTCTCGGCCCGGGCCCGTGGCGCCGAAAAAGATCCCGTCATTGAGTGACGCTTCCAGATATGATGCATTCGCCGTTGACTAGTGCGCTGTGCTTTGGCTGTGCTTTGGCTGTGACTAGTGCGCTGTGCTTTGACTGTGCGGTGCGTAGCGTATTGCATGCAACGGACTTGCAGCAGCAAAACCACCCTCCGCTGCGAAAGATGCAATATCGGATGTTCTGCGCCCGAAACGCTGGCAATCACCGGGCACGCACAGATGCGTCGCACAGTTTGTATTGAGGCAGACTGCCGACATCTCACTCACCAACCGTCACCGACATCTCACTCACCAACCGTCACCGACATCTCAATCGCCAGCCGTCACCACGCTTGGTAGGCGAATATCAGCTCTCTACCTCGTCGCCTCGTCGACACGTTCGTTCGGTTACGTCGTCGTGCGCGTAAGGTACCGGTTCATCACACCGTAGGCTGTTCGAGACAGTCGTTCGGTACAGGCCGTCTGGGTAACCAGAGGCTCGCCGCAAATGGCGGACATGTAGCCGGCAGGTGACAGACCTGTGCTCTGGACACGAAACGCAGTATCAGAGGTATGCAGACTCATGCTCCGGACACGAAACACAGCAGCGGAGACATGCAGACTTGTGCTCCGGATACGAAACACAGCAGCGGAGGCATACAGACTTGTGCTCCGGACACGAAACACGGCAGCGGAGGCATACAGACTTGTGCTCCGGACACGAAACACAGCAGCGGAGGCGTGCAGACTTGTGCTCCGGACACGAAACACAGCAGCGGAGGCGTGCAGACTTGTGCTCCGGACACGAAACACAGCAGCGGAGGCATACAGACTTGTGCTCCGGACACGAAACACAGTTGCGGAGGCGTGCAGACTTGTGCTCCGGACACAAAACACAGCAGGACAATATCAGCAGCACTTGAGCCAAAGCAGTTCGGCTCACTCGAGTCTACAGAGCCCGCCTTGGGCTCACAACTTTGAATGCGGGCTTCAGGTACGCGGGCCCAAAGGCGGCGAATATCCGCGCAAAGTTCGCCGCCTAACACAGGCCCGTCGCACATCCAGATTCGAAGCGAGTTCCAGATACAGTACAAGTAGAGAACAGGGTTGAGGGTGTGGTGTTGTGCAAAGGCTGGCATTCGGACGCAGGGTTGCTCTCGTTAGGAAGCATTTTTTAAAGTCGCCCGTTGGACTCGTTGGCGCTACGCATATACCCGACTGGAACGGACTTCATTGCATCATCTTCATCTTCATCATCATCATCATCGTTTTCTTCTTCAATGCATTTCAGTCATAGTTCTGTTTGTTTATTGAAAAGAACGGTCAGTTGGGGACAAAAACATTGGTGGAAGCACCTTAACGTGCGCTTTGTTGCCACACAGTACCGTTTTCGTAGAGATATGTAGTTAAAGGGAGCTCTGCGAAGTTTCACATGGGAATAACCGAATATCATCGCTTATTTTACGACTCAGCACATGTGAACAGTTCGTGTTCAGAAGATACGCGAAATGAGCGAGTCAGTACTGGGGCGATGAACATGTTTTCTTAACATTCTGATGAATGCCAACTCAATGCCAAGCGTCAATGAAACACCAGCAGATGAGTCCACGTTGCAAAGCGGGATCTCATCAAAGAGTATGCACGGATTCTACCATCTCGCCTAGCATCACTCCAAAACGCACACACTTTCAACCACCGACAATCTGTATCAACGACGCCACCGCCATCAACAGCTGCGACGCATCCCACCCATGTTCGCCGAACGCACACGAGATGGCAGCACTGAGCGTCAGCCCAGTTTTGCGTAGAGATCATCCAGCTGTGGCTTGAAATATCGTCGCATTTCGGGTCGCTTTGACTTGAGACCAGGGGTGAGAAGGTTGTTTTGCACGCTGAACGGGTCCGGGTGCAGGTAAATATCCTTTACCTGCGCGATTAGGGACAAGCGTCAGCGCACGCAGAAAGGATCGCAAAAGTGCTGTTTGCACGCTGCACGTGGGAAACCGCGAGAACGCTTAGCTCCACAGCCTCAGCGGCACTTACGGGGCTGGAAGCCTGTTCAGATTGCAACGCCTGTGCGTCTGTGTATCTCGGAGGAGGTAAATGCGGTTGCACGAATGACGGAGGTCTCGCGGGAAACAACCGCACGTTTTGGCGGAAAACAAGATGCACATTTGCAGTTGGATAGCCGCAGCCGCGCGCCAAATGGCCATTTCGCAGGTTTCAGACAGGCTGTATCAAGGCTTTCATTCCGTTCGCTTTGACTTGAGGCAAGAAGTGAGTTTGTTTCGTAGGCTGAAGGGATCCTTCTGCAGCAGCATGGCATTTAGGAATCACGGCAAGGTTGTCCCAAGTTCACATTCGAATTCGGGTTGAAATGATCACTTGGAATATCGCTTTGTAGTATGTACAATCAGTTGCCATCCTTGGAAAACATTCACGCGAGTCCCAAATGCAAAGCCCTGCGTATCAAAACCTGACAGAGATCTGGGAGCCCAGTGTCATGAGGGTAAGTCAGGCAAGTAGCCACTGGGCTGCATTGCAACATCGCAGCGCAATATCTGGCCACTCACTGGCTACAAAGCAAGTAGCCACTGAACTGCATTGCAACATCGCAGCGCAATACCTGGCCACTCACAGGCTACAAAGCAAGTAGCCACTGGGCCGCAGTGCAACATCGCAGCGCAGTATCTGGCCACTCAATGGCTACACAGAAGCTCAACTACGCGCGCGAGGTCCTGCATGTAGTCGAACATCGGATTTCAAAATACCGGTCTATCTGTCACGAAACGTGCAATTAATCGGAAGGGCACTAGAGTATGCGTAAATGACATTATCCAACTGCATCTATGTCTTCAATATTTCTTTTAGCCGTGATGTCCGATCCGGCGGGTTTACCCCAGCTTATGCGACTTCATAAGAGTTGCCGAGTCTGGTTGGCTTTTTCCGTTTCCCGTCCTGCTTTCTATTGACCCTTACATTCTTTCTGCCATATATATGTTCACTAAAATCCCGCGCATCTGTTTCATCCTTTCATCCCATTTCACCCCTTTCTCTTTTTGATCACCTCTTCATATTTGCTTCACGTCCCATACATATCTCAGCTCATTTCGCACGCCCTTTCTTCGACGTCTCAATTGCTTCCCTTTCTCTCACTTCTCCTTGCTAATGCCATACCACCTGCCCCCTCGCTTCCTCACCCACACCTCCATCCCATCTCCCCTGTCACCCGCACCTCTATGCCCCGTCTCCCCTGTCACCCGCAACTCCATCCCCCATCTCCTCTGTCACCCGCAACTCCATCCCCCATCTCCCCTGTCACCCGCATCTCCATGCCCCATCTCCCCTGTCACCCGCGCCTCCATCCCCCACCTCCCCTGTCACCGCCCATCTGTCCCCCATCTCCCCTGCTACCCGCCCCCCTGTCCCCTCGCCACCCGCCTCACCTGCTCATAGCCCTTGAGCGCAGCTTTTTCGGCCAGGCGCGCCATGTCCTCTAGCACCATCTCCCGCACCGCCTGCGACTGGCACAGCACCGACAGCGTGCCCGGGATGCCGGCGGAGGCGGCCCAGGCCTTCAGCGCGACCACGGCCGGCACCACCACCGCCACCACGTAAGACTTGAGGCTGTCTCCGTGCACGAAGAGCTGCGCGACGAAGCGGGAGCCCAGGTAGACGGCCTCCACTTTCTCCGGCGCGACGTACTCGCCCTGAGAGACATGAAGGGGGAGGGGTAGTGGGAAATAATAATGACCGCCTGCATGATCCGGTAATATTAAATTCTTCCCAAATTTGGGTAGAATCAAGCATCCCGCCCAACAGGCCTATGTCCATGAATCACTCACCCATGAACTCTACGTCTATGAATCCTAAACCCACGGGTCATGCAGACCCTATACCCAGTTGAAAGTACATCAGTAGCATTACTTAACGACGCGCTGTGCTACATCATGTCGACTGGCGCCAACTACCGGTCTCATCGCTAATACGCATGGGTAAAGAGGTCATCCAGTCACAACCTCTCTCCACGCATTGGCCGAAAATACGAACGCAGTAAGCAAGCCAACGATGAACGCGTGGCACATTGGCACATTGGTCCACCGCCCGCAGTCGCCCGACGCCGCGGGGTTGACCAGAAGCGAGCCGCCGACCTGCGCCAGTTTGAAGATGGGTTTCCTGCGGTCGATGATGCTGAGGGTGCCGGCTGGCGTCCACTGTCCCACGTCGCCGGTGTGAAGCCAGCCCTGCTCGTCCAGCGCCTCCCGCGTGCGCTCCGGGTCACGATGGTAGCCCTGTGACGGCACGGCCGAGGTTCCAGCTCAGTGACATGTCCCGGATGAAGTCAGCGGGGTGGAAGAGACGGTGGAGCGGTTCGGTTCCGTTCCTCATCCTGACTTTCCGGCTGGTTCTCGTGCATTATCCACAGTACCTACGTTTGTGCTGAAACGCTCTTGTACCTCCCATACAAACCCCAGAAACACGAAGTTCTTCTTACGCATCACGTGATACTGCTCATCATGAACAACCGCCTCCTCCTCGTCTTCCTGAGTAACCCTGAAGATGTACCTCATACCTCTAGTGCACCATTCCCACCTTGAAGGCCGGAGATCGTGTTCGAGACTGCCTTGAAGATATTGTTTGTGCATCCCCATCCCCTGTGCTAGTGCTGACTCCCTGTACATCCACGTCCACCCCGTGGCGAAGATCACGTTGAAGGACCATGCTCATCTCGCTCCCTATGCCGCCTGTCACTCTGAAGATGTTGCTTCTTCGACAGCCACTCGCCCGCGTCCCTCCTCACCCTGAAGACACCGTCTTTTCAACACTCAAGTCATCGCCAGGGCCCTTCCTCGCCATGAAGCTCTCTGTCCCATGCGGAAGACATCGTCCTTCGACACTTTAGTCATCGCCAGCGGCCCTCCTCACCCTGAAGACGTCGTCTTTCCGACACTGTAACCATCGTCCGCAACCCCCCCCCCCCCCCCCCCTCCCCCCTCCCCCCACCTTGAAGCTCTCCGCCTCACCCTGAAGACGTTGCTGCCGCGCACGCAGACTTCGCCCTGGCCGGATACGGCGAAGTAGCCCAGCTCCGGCACATCCACCAGCTTGACATCACAGCAGGGCAGTGGCGGCCCCACGTGCTCGGGCCGCGCCTCTCCCGGCAGCGTCAGCGTGCAGGCGGCCGCGCACTCGGTCTGTCCGTACCCCTCCAGCACCTGCCGGCAGGAGGGGTCGGGCCCCACGGCCGTCAGCAGTAGCGGGTGTTGCGCGAGAGGGTAATTCGAGTGTCGGAAAGACACGGTGGATGTTGCTTTGCGTACTGCCGGAAGGAGCGCTCCTGTCGGGCGCTATTGACTAGGACTGGGCCCCGGAAATGTTGTGCTGGTTACGGTGCTTAAGTCCTGTGAAAGTCTTAAACGCTGAGTCTTACAGATATGTCTTTTAGGAGGCATACATTTTATGAACCAGGATCCAGGTCTCAGACTCACCACCGAAGAATGCGTCCAAGAGACACGGGTGTGATCTTAATCTAGCATTGTGGTCTCCCGGTGTTCGCAGTATCCATGCAGCCTCCACCGCTAAATAACGTTGAACCCGGTAATGTGCGCCGAGCGCCACCTCACACAAAACTTTATCGCTTCAAAACGTAGAGGCTTAAAATACAAGAACCATAAACTCGTTACTGACAGCGCAGCCAAAGCCTGACATGAAAAAACCGAAAAATACACGTGACCGACTGTGTAGACGAAGCCTAACATGAGAAACGACGAAAGACACATGACTGACAGTGCAACCGGGAGCTTATATGAAAAAACGACAAAAGACACGCGACTGGCAGTGCAGCCGAAGCCTAACATGAAAAACGACAAAATACACGTGACTGACAGTGCAACCGGGGCCTTACATGAAAAAACGACAAAAGGCACGTGACTGGCGGTGCAGCCAAAGCCTAACATGAAAAAAACGAGAAAAAAACACACGTGACTGACAGTGCAACCGGGGCCTTACATGCATAAACGACAAAAGACACGTGGCTGACATGAAAAAAACGAAAAAAAAACATACACGTGATTGACAGTGCAGCCGAAGCCAACATGAAAGAAACGAAAAAAAGACATGTGACTGACCGTGCAGCCGAGGGCGCAGCGTGCGAAGGTGAGCACGGCGGAGGCGGTAGGCGCAGATCCCACCACCACCAGCCTCACCCTGCCGCCCAGCGAGGCCCGCGTGCGCCGGAACACAAACCGGTCCCCACACCGAGTCATGCCGCACCACTGACCTGCGGCGGCGTACGCGGTCATAATAGGTCACAATAAGTCACGACTGGTCTGGAAATGCCACAGAAGGTCACGAAAGGACATGTGACAGTCATGGATAGGTCATGAAATGTCAGGACAGGCCACGGCAGGTCACAAACGGCCGCGGCAGCTCGCCACAGGCTATGGCATGTCCCGACAGGCAACGACAGGTCAGGGCAGGCTACAAAAGGTCACAACAGGTCACCAGAGGTCATGGTGGCGGAGCACGAGTGCGCCGGTCACTGTGGGTCCTATCGGGTACATAAAGGACTGCGCGTGTCATGTTGGGTCAAAGCGGGCTCCAGAGAGCCTAAAATAGCTGTAAAGGCCATTCCCGGGTCAAAGGTCATGGCGGATCATCGCAGGGCCTAAGAAAGCGTACAGATCACGAGTTGTCTCAGTGTGGTCGGAGGGCGGCGTACAGGTTGTGGTGGGTCGGAGCAGGTCACAAGGAATGCCTGGGTACCCGTGGGTGGTGAAGTCACAGAGAGTGCCCGGTACCCATGGGTCGTAAGGTCACAAAGAGTGCCCGGATACCCATGGGTCGTTAGGTCATGGTCAGCCGTGGGATGTTATTGTATCATGTTACCTATCTGCCGGTGTGCACGAAGGCACTAAGCACACAGAACTGCGCGCGACAGCAGTTGATAGAATTTCCTGCAGACACTAGGCTCATCTCCAGATACACGGATGCAAAGGAAACCGCAGTCTTCGAGGGCCGCCAGGTCACCTGGGGTCGCGACCGCAAATCACAAACGCGTATATACTCGACCTTGCGGTCACGGGTCATGAGTCATGGGTCATGGGCCATGGGTCACGGGTCATGGTCACGGGTCACGGGTCACGGGTCATGAGTCTTGGGGAACGCAGTCACGCTATCGTGGGCACGGATCATGAAAGGCCACAGCAAACTTGTACTGCATACATTTGATGACTTCACCTTCCTGACTCTGCCTCGTATCTGACCATTCGCCTTTCACCCGGGCCAGCATCATGCCATTCGCTTCGTGACCTCGGCCTGCGTTCAAACACTCACATCCAACCCCATTCCTGGCCTTTGACCCCCATCCCGGCGTCTGCTTCACCCCTGACCCCGACCCGCGCCGCGCCACTGACCTCTTGACCTCGGCGTGCTTGGCGGCGAGCGCCCAGCGCAGCAGACGGCGCCGCAGCGGGCTCGTGCTGACCTCGGCCCAGGCTCGGTCGCGCAGCCGGTTCAGCAGCCGCGGCACCATGGGCACGACGGTGGGACGCAGCTGGCGCAGGTCAGCCGCCAGGCCGCGCAGGTCGCCGCGGAAGAAGCCCACCGCGCCGCCCTGCGCGTACATCACCGCCTGCAGCCCAGGTCAAGATCAGTGATGGAGGTCGAGGTCATGGACGGAGGGGACGGATGTGATGTGGAAGGCAAGCGGGTTAACGCGCGTGTCGTGGTTTTACGTTTAGGTCACGGAAGGGTTATGATCTTGTGTATGGTTATGGTTTTGGTTACGTTTATGGTTTTTGGTTATTGTCAGGGTCATGGTACGATTATGGTTTGTGTATGGTCATAGTTTTGGTTATGGTTATGGTTTTGGATATGCACATGATCGTAAACTATGACGGATGCGCAGAGCGTGGCTCTCTGTTGCTGCAATACCGGCGACTGACTAAGGTCAGAATGACGGCAAAGGTCAAGAACAGCTTACAAGGTCATGGTTGATAAGCTACCTCAAAGCCGCTTTTGAACGTTTCAGTCAATGATTGTGATTTGTAATGCCATGGTTACTGGGTGTTGAATGCATGACTACTGCAGTTGTCGGTCGTGATTACTGATTGACGTCAAGGTGTATGAACAAAGTTGCGGGCAGTGACCGGGGCGACGGCCAAAAACCAGGCCGCATTGCTGAGTCGGGTTGTGTACTGGACTACGTGACATATGAGACCGCGGTCATTGCCTGATGGCATGTAGACGCCAGGTACTTTTGGGGTTCGCATCAGTCATTAATGGTGAACAGTGAGACTCATTCTGCGGCGTTTGACAAGCAAGATTAATTTTGCGGCGCGGAGAAAAGCAAGACTAATTTTGAGGCTTGGGACAAGCAAGTCGATGGCAAACGCAGCTGTCATCATTTTAAAGGCAACACCAAGGTCGTGCTGACAGCGACCCAGACGACAAAGAATCTGTCCCGCCGGCGTCATTCATGACGTCATACTCAATGCATTTTGCGTCTTTTGGTGTTCGTAGCGACTCGGACGACAAAGAATCTACGTGACGTCACGTAGAATCTTTGCTGGACGCACGGCACCTTTTTCCGTGACTTGATTGCAGTGAGGTAGACATGGCGCAACAGTATCAACGAGTCAAGCCAGGTGCCCAGGACCGACCACGAGTAACGAAAACGTGTTGTATACGTTACAAATAGTAAGATTTGCAGTTTCCATTGTTAAAAGCACGCTTGGTAGCCGCAAACGAAGATCTTAAAGCCCATGCATGTGCAATTATTGTCACGATAGTTGCGGGGATTTCAATAAAAAAACGCGTCGCTTTGCGAAGACGACCGGCACAGACTCTACGCGACGTCACGTAGAACTGAACACTCTTGGTGCGCTGTGAATGCATCCAAAAGCTGAAGCGCATGATGCGGTTACAACTGACGTAGCTGACATCAAAACAATGGAATGTCCGCCTCTCAAAAGTTTATCTGACAAAGACGTTCACTCCTTTACATGTTAATATTCGTGAGCAACTTCAGCAATGACACTGCTTGCAAATCGACTGTCTATGGAGTTGGCCTGACCTGACGACCTCGTTAGACAAACATGGACTAATGTTTGACAAAAAGTCGACAAAAACATAGATTGATTCGCCTTTTCGGCAACGGCGGCCAACGTGCCGTAAGGAATGCAAGGTTGTTGGCGGTCATCGTGAACTTGGCTCATCTCACTCGGTTCATGCTTTAGACTACGATGTTGGAGATCAAATCTAACTAAGGCGACTTCGGCCGCTTCCCGGTCGATTGTTGCAATCGCTGTAGTCGGCCGCACGTGGTTGTGCAATCGCGGCGCTTCGCAGCGAGTACACTAAGAGCCATCAGTGGGTTTGTCTTTGCATTCTCCGTTTGCCCTGACCTGGCACCGGTCCTTAAGGAACGCTCCAAGAGCAGCAACAGAACGAGGACCCGCGACCGAGCGCCCGTGCCCGGCTGCACAGCCGATGCCCACTTTTGCCGGCACGGTCGACGTGTTCTCCTCCGTCAGACAAAATTGGTGTCGCGTCATCGCAAACTCCGGAAATTCGAGATCTGGCTCCGATTTGGGCCCATGTTTTCGCCTTCGCGGCGGTGCGCGCACTGGCAAAACCCCGATACGTCGTCGAGACCGCTGTCCTCCCTCCCTCCCCCCCCCTCCCACATCTCACCAAGACAACGCCAACCAACCTCGCAGACGCGCTCCAGCATGTGCGCCAGCGGTAGGAACGAGACGAGCGTATCGCCGCTGGCTGGCGCATGAGAGTCCAGCCTGCAGCACCAGCGCGTGCACAGGCCGCCACCAGGCTGGCGTGCGGCAGCATCACGCCCTTGGGGGAGCCGGTGGTGCCGGCCGTGTAGCAGATGGTGGCCAGGTCCTCGGGCCGCGGCGGCTGCCGGCGAGGACCGGAGTCAAGGTCGAGGGCCTGAGCGCTGAGTCGGGGATCAAGAGGCTGGGGAAGCTGTCGGGACTGAACGGTGCTAGGGGTGGCACGCGAGAGCTGTTGGCGGGAGCGAGAAGTGCTGTGAGGGAGGCGTTGTGGGAGAAGACCTGCGATGGGGTACAGATAGGGATCTCATGAGGTTTAGGTCGTTTGCCGCGGCAAGCGACCGACTCCCATGCCCTCAACCAACCCTATCCCCTCGTGAGGGGTATAGTGTATGAAGGAGACGAGCTGATGGAAGAGGGCTTGAGGAAGAGATAGGGTCAGGACATTGTGAATCGGGACGGGTGTGAGGACACACGTGGCTAAAATAATAACATCGCTGGAAGCGCCGCGCACAGAAGGGGAAGGGAGGGTCTGCTTCTCCAAGCAACACTGAGAAAACCTGGACTCGATACTGCCTGGTCGAGTGAATGCAGTGTTTGTAGTGCGAGTCGGTCGCGCTGTTTGTGTTTGTGTTGGCCCCCGCCCGCGGCGCGACGTTGGCACTTATCCGGGGACCATCATCCGCTCTTATGCCCTGTTAATGGAGTGCCACTTCGGGAAATAATGATGAGATGGTAACATATACTAACAAAGGAAAACGTGCCAGAGTTCGAAGGATCTAAAGCAGACGGTAGACAGGCCATCCATACAAATACGAATGGCACTCTCTGTTTTCCAGGGACGACCTACCTCGATTCAGCACTCCCTCCCGGGCAGGCATATACGTGCGCACACACCACACACGTTTGCGTACACGCGCGCCAACTAACAATAAACAGATACCAATGGGACAAAACCCAACTAAAAAGCATCACTGCAAAAACAGCTGAAAGTCCCGTGCCAAACCAGGACCTTTCAGAACGATATACAATACTCTAGCCATATGTAGCTGACCTAGCCCTGACCTCATCCTTGCCCTGATCTAACTCTGATCTGGTCCTAACCTGGCCTAATATGACCTAGACATAACCCTGACCTCACTATGACCCCGACACCGACACAAACCTGAACTAGCTTGACCCCCAACGCTCGCAAAACCTCCCAACCCTCACCATCGCCTTCATCCTCAGCAACCTGTCCGCCACCACGAGCCGCCGATTTCCCCCTCTCTCCCCACCATTCCCGCCGCGAGGCCGCCTCACCCTCTCCCCACCACCTCGCCGAACCCGCCTCACCCCTCTCCGCCAGCTGCGCCTTGGCGCCGGCACTCTCCAGGTCGGTGAAGCGGGACACGCGGACGGCAAGGTCAGCGGAGCGCTGCAGAATCTCGGCCGAGGGCTGGTGCGTGCAGACCACGTGCGCCAGCCGTCGCGGTCGACGGTTCAAAAGCGTGGTGTGAGACGGGTGTCGTCTTGTCCACCACCACCACCGTCAGGTTGGCCTACGGGGGAGTCAGAGGGGAGTCAGATGGGAGTCACTGCCACGATCAGGCTGGCCTATGGGGGAGTCAGAGGTGAGTCAAAGGGGAGTCGCCACCACCGTCAGGTTGTCCGACAGAGGAGTCAGAGACGAGTCAGAGAAAAGTCGCCACCACCATCAGGTTGGCTTGCAAGGGAGTCAGAGGGGAGTCAGATGGGAGTCAGAGAAGAGTCAACAGCACAGTCAGGCTGGCCTACGGTGGAGTCAGAGGGAAGTCAGAGGGGAGTTACCACCACCGTCAGGTTGACCCGCAGAGGAGTCAGAGGGAGGTCACCACCACCATCAGGTTGGCCCACATAGAAGTCAGGGGGTAGTCAGAAAGGAGTCGATCGCCACCTTCGTCAGGCTACCTGCAGGGGGACAAACAATTCACCGACACAGTGGGGCTGGTCTGCAATGGAGTTAGAGGGCAGTCAGAGGGGAGTCAATAGTTCACCGACACACAGTGGGGCTGGTCTGCAATGGAGTTAGAGGGCAGTCAGAGGGGAGTCAATAGTTCACCGACACAGTGGGGCTGGTCTGCAATGGAGTTAGAGGGCAGTCAGAGGGGAGTCAATAGTTCACCGACACAGTGGGGCTGGTCTGCAATGGAGTTAGAGGGCAGTCAGAGGGGAGTCAATAGTTCACGACACAGTGGGGCTGGTCTGCAATGGAGTTAGAGGCAGTCAGAGGGGAGTCAATAGTTCACCGACACAGTGGGGCTGGTCTGCAATGGAGTTAGAGGGCAGTCAGAGGGGAGTCAATGTCACCACTACCTTCAGGTTGGCCCACGGCAGAGTCAGAGGGGAGTCATAGAAGAGTCACCACTACCGTCAGACTGGCCTGCAGGGGAGTCAGATGAGAAACAGAGGGGAGTAAAAACCCACCGGCACAGTGGGGCTGGCCTGCAGGGTAGTCAAGGAGGAATTAGAGGGGAGTCACCATCACCACCGCTGCCCGGCAGATGGGCAGAAACGAGTGCAAAGCAGTCATCATCTAACACAACCGTCAGGATGGCATGCGGGGAACCAGAGAAGAGACAGGGTGAGGTGGCAGTTCACCGTTGTCGTAAAAGAACAGCCTTCGAGCAATGCAGGAGGGAGTCAAGACGAAGTCAGCATCCATTACTATCACTGTCAGATTCGCCTGTAAAGATGTCCTCAAGTAGCCAGAGCAGAGTCATCCATTACCAGTATCAAAATGACCTGCAGTGTTCCAATATTCGGCCACCTGGGTGGCAGGATGGCGATATTTGTCATGACATGCACCCCGGCTTTAGGCTCACCGCGTGTGACCCCTCCCCTTGATCAAAGTCGGCCAATCAGGATTGAGCCGGGGGGCTATCAAACCAGCTTCTATACGCTTCAGGTTTGATAAATGGGCTGAGTAGGTGAAATGTGTAGGACGGGGTCAAAGGGTAACGGACTGGCGCCAACGAAAAACGTACGGGGACCGCCGAAGAGCCAGGATTCTGGTAGCATGAATTTATATTTACATCCTGCACCCTACTGGATGGATTTTGGAACGCTTATGACCTGCGTTGAATGTCAGAGTAAAGACAGAGCGGAGCCAGTCACCACCATTGTCAGAAGAGCCTGCGTTGAAAGCCAGGGTAAAGTCAGTACAGCCATTCGCCACCATTATCACAAAAGCCTGCGTTGAAAGTCAGGGTAAAGTCAGAGCGGAGTCGTCGTCGACTACCGTCTGAGTCCAGACCTCGGAGATCACAATAAATATGATGTCCCAGACTATTCTCAGTAGGTCAGACAGAAGTCGCTATCAACCAGCAGCAACGTCAGATTGGTCTGGAGGATTTCGGTGGAGTGGCTCCATGCGACCAAGAGCAATGTCAGACCGAATGCTGCGGGAAAGGGAACCTGACGGAAACTTGATGGACACTTGATGCACGACATTGTTGACCTGAATACTCTTAGAATCGTGACACGCCAGATGCCGGGTGTTGGGGGTGAAGAACTCAATAATCTGCATTCACCACCGCATTCCCGTCCATGTTGACCGATGTGTGAGCCGTGCGTCCGCATGACCAAGTCATATCCTTCAGACTTGCCCCATGGGCGACATTTTTAGCATTGAGATGAAAACCAGGGCAGCTGCGGTTTCCTGCACGCAAGATACCACCGGGTTTGTAGCACGGACTTCGTCGTGTAGCGACAAAGCGGATCACGATAAGACTGAAAGATCGTGTGATCTCGAGAAACGCTCTCGTCCATGCATATAACAAACACGGGAAATACCACGCCACCACTCAACGCTCGACTTCGGCACCGAAAAAAATACACAGGCTGAGAATGTACCGAACGGGGATAACCGTAACTAGGCTGGGTTGCGCAAATCAGACGGGGTAAAATGCAAGTAAATTGGCAAGTGTCGACGGAAAGCGAAGCTGGTCCGGCGCTGCAGCAAAGCAAGGTGTAACGCCACGTTCCCCGCAGTGGACGCGATCGCGTTATGTGCAGCTACTGTCAACCCAGTGCTCCGAGTAACTCGCCAATGAGGAGATAAAGGGAGGAAGACAGGAGTTGGCTTGCAGCGCGGGAAATGACGCAATATACCTGAGAGCGGCATGCTCCCATGAGGACGCACGTGCGTACCTCGCGCCTTTCCGCATTCCGATCATGTTTTGAAGCCGGCGCCGCAGCTGGGCCGCGACCGCTCCCTGTCTGCTTTCTGAAGAGTTTCAATCAGCTCTCGTCCCATTGATGTCCCGCTGCTGCTCGCCCCCCCCCCCCCCCTGCCCCCACCCTGCCCCCTCCCCTCCCCCCGAGCCTTTCTCTCGTGAGATCAGTTTGATGAGCGACAATTCACGATCTGCGACGCTGCCGTGGGTAAACATCCGGCTCGGACATCTTTGCGTGGCATCCGCCGTCCCGTAATAACAACTCCAGATCTGGCAGCCCAGTTGGCAGCCCCAGCGGCCGGCCGCGGGCCAAAACTGTACGGACGTCGTCGGTGTTGATTTCGGGCGGGGAAGTGGGCGTGGCATGGTTAATGGATGCGCGGCCCGCAAAACAGAGGGGCTCTAAGTCCCTTGACTTGGATGCGTCATCACATATGACGTCATATACGCACCGTCACTCATGCTCCGCCGCTGACATTAGCAATGACACAATGCGGCGTCGACTTAACCAACGACCCATGCTAGGGCTGCCCTGACCTGATCGATGACGTAGGCGCAGGTAGCCTCCCCCAGAGCGTCATACAGCGGCACCACCACCATGCTGAAGCAGTAGCAGCCCTGCTCCGTCAGCACCCACTCCGGGCAGTTCTGCATGTAGACGCCCACGCTGGTGTCCTGACCTGGACTCAGGCCTGCGGGGGCAGTTAGGAGTGACGACATACATGGGTGTCGTCACCTGATCTCAGACCTACGGTATTGGATTCCCCAGCCAGGGCCAGCGGCTGACGTTATAAAGTGACGTCATAAAAGTATATCTTATGGCATCCCTCTTGCTGGAAGCATCGCAGATAATCTGGCTCGGTTTCAGACCATGGTCCATATGCATGTACGGAGATTGGCTACGTCATCTCAATTTTTATCGCATCCTATGTGAATCTCTTTTGATCTGACCTGCTCTTCTCCTCATGCTATGCGCACTGTGCATAGCATGGGACTGCTAAAGCAGTTGGCAACCTAAGCACGCGTATGCCCTGAAGGGGAACGGTCCGTGAAGGGAACGGTCATGATGTCTTTGAGCCAAACTCACGTAACGTGACCTCACTTGACCCGATCTCGCTTAATCCGATGTGACCTGACTTGACCCGATCTCACTTCATCCATGCGACCCTCACTTGACCAGATCTCACTTCCTCCGATGTGCCCTCACTTGACCCGAACTGACTAACTAGATGTGACCTCATTTGACCCGATCTCACTTGATTCAATGTGGGCTCACTTAACCCGATCTCACTTTATCCCGTGTGACCTCATTTGACCAGCCCCCTCTGACCCGACTTCTTCAACTTACCCGCTTCGCTGACCGCTTACCGCTGACCTGGACTCATTTGACCCGCCCCGGACCCACCGTTGACCCCTTGACCCACCCTTGCCCAACCATGACCCCCACCTCGACCCGACCTTTGCCCAACCTTGATCCGCACTTGATCCGACCTTGATCCAACCTCAGTGACCCTGGCCGTGCCTGAGTTGACCCGATGTTGGTGATCTAACCTTGTCTCACTCACCCGAGGCGACCAGGGCCTGCGGCGAAGTTCTTGGCGCGCGCAGAAGCGACTCGTTGTAGTGGATCCACTGGTACGGCTTGTCTGCCTCGCGCCCAGCCCAGACAGGGGCCGTTGTCTGCAGCGAGGCGCAGACATCGGTCAGACAAACCCAACAGGAAAGCACTCCGCGATCCCATCGACCGTCACGCGAGGCAGGTCCGTCAAATGTCCGTCAACTATGGACCCGCCGGAGCGCTGCGCAAATGCCGGTTATATTACGCGCGATTAGGCCAAATTCCAACTGCGGGGCTGGAATGTGTGTGTGGCGGGGTCTGACACCACGCAAGGAAAAGCCACGCGTCCTTCTTTGCACAGTGTACGACAGGTCACACACGCCGCCACAGAGCACGCAGGTGTCCCCCTACGGCTTTTCACGCGCCAGGCTTGGACTAGCGGTAGGCGTGAATCGCGAGAATGCCAGTGCCGTCTTCTCGCTGTCATGGTCTCGAATGCCATCCGCGTTCACCGCCGGCCGGTCGCTGGCGCTCCTCCGGCTAGCGCCACCCTCCACGGTACCGATTTAGGGCGCTCAAGAGGACAGTGCAAGAAGACAAGAGGACGGGACGAGAGGTCGATCAGGCTGATGGCAGGAGGATGGGTGCTACTGATGTCGTGGTTGATTTTGTCCAGAGGAACTTCAGAACGATTGGTAGCGGTCACAAGCAGGCAATGAGTCCTACATAATATTTCCTTCTTCCTGCGTCTAGTATATTTGAAGTTCGCGCCAACGCTCCCCAGACCGTCTCGTGTCGAACATTTAAATATTTGGAACGCTTCAGGCACCACGAAAGTCACACCTAGTGCACAAAACACTTACAAATGCCTCTCACGTTTCGTGTTCCAGAGACGCCTTGTAACTTCGTGACGTTGCCGTACAAGCTCAAAAGCAATCTCCAACCTTTGCAAAACCGACGGGAGCCTCGCTCCCTGGCTGCACGACACAGACTCGACAGCCTGAGAGTGAAACATCATGCTAAAATTCCATTACATGCAATCCACGAATCATTCGTACCTTACGTATCTACATGTCAGCATTCCACCGCATCACGCCCGGGACATTCGGGGAATGCTGGACCCCGTACGCATGGAATGCTATGTTTTCACAAGTCCAGTTGCGCTCAATTAATTTACTAGAGCTTAACTCGAAACCCCCATTGACGTCATTTTTCATCCAGCTGCGACCCAGCCACAGGTCATGACCCCTTTACACCTCACTATCCCCGGTTCTCAGGTCACGATCCCCGGTCACACGTTACGAGCCCCGGTTCACAGGTCACGAGCCCCGGTCACAGGTTCACGATCCCCAGTTACAGGTCACGAGCCCCGGTCACAGGTCACGATCCCCCAGTTACAGGTCACGAGCCCCGGTCACAGGTCACGATCCCCAGTTCCAGGTCACGAGCCCCGGTCACAAGTTCACGTGCCACGGTCACGATCAGAGGTCACGTGACGTAGCCCAGGGTCCCGGCGCCGCGGTCAAAGGTCACCGGTGGTCACGAGGTCACCCAGGTAGCCGTCGTTGTCACTCACTGGAGAGCTTGGCGCCGCGCCTGAAGGTATCGTACAGTGTACGGCAGGCGTCGTCCAACGCCCGGAACGGCCGACCCGGCTCGGTGGCAGTCTGTGGCAGTCGGGAGCGGCGCACCAGCTCTGGACCCTGCGGCAGAACGGCGCTCACTCAGCTCGCTACTCACCGGACCCTGCGGCAGCCGGCGCTCACTCACCGCTCACCGGACCCTGTGGTGGAGTGGTGCCCACTCAGCTCACCACCTACGGAGCGCTCGGCTGGTGTGAGAGGGGCGCTCACCCAGCTCATTCACCGCATCTCATCATTCATCTGCATGACTGCAGTGGTAAAAGTGACCGTACTTACGTCTGTATTTTGCGCACGCAACAGCGACAAGTCGCGTATTTTTAGAACTGGAGGCATGCAAGCGTGTCGTCATGCAGCCCACAATAACCCATGAATCACACTACGGAATGCTATCCGCAGACAGGTCTTGCGCAGATGGCGAACTTTGCTCTGCTGGCAATTGAAGCCGTAGTCTAGCATATTGTCTGTCGCACCTATTTCCATCGCAGCAGGTCTTGCTATTGCCGACGCTTCGAGCTCCATGCCGCATGACATATTTCCGCCGGCCCTCGCCGCTTTTATCGTCGTCTGTCACATCGGTGCTATTTCACGAGCCATTTAAAACACGGCGCGAATGACGGAGTGATTTAAAAATGGTGGCGGATGGACCTGGTTTCGAAGTGGATCGACCTGCCAGTTGGTGATGCTTCCGTTGATATTTATCGGAGTTGTTTTGGTGCTCGGAGTGACCGGGGGGGCGCGCCGGCCGATGCCTTTCCCCCGCGCAAAGCCCAACAAGAAAAAAGCCAGAGCTCGTCCGAGCAAAGCCAAAGCTCGCTCCTAACCAACGCCGGACAGATCAATCCCTGGCACAAGGCAGAGCAAGCACCGGCCGATCACTGCGAGAACGGAGGATAATCTATGGTAATTCTTCTCACGGCACTGAAACAATGCCACGCCTTCCATCAGCGCTGCTGGCGCCACCAGGGGCAACGTCTCTGCCATCGTTATTGATAACCGGTAGAGGTGCAAGGTGACCTTAGCTGCTGGAACTTATTAAAATTCACAATCACCACCATCATAACTGCCAGAATATGAATCTTGGTTATCTTCATATGCCTATTATTCCGAAGATCACGCAAGCAGCCACCTTTATCTCATGTGATGCAATCATTAGCTCGACCCTTGTTTGTTTATATGCAATCATTATCAATCACGTCGACCACCTCATCAATTACGTCGCCACATTACCAATCGTACGAGGGGCCCCGGAATGGCAACAGCAGCACAAGACGTCTCGACTTGAGCCTCCCGGGGCAAATAACAGCATAACACATCAACTCAAACCTCCCCGGGCCAACAAAAGCACAAACGCATCTTAACACAAGCCTCCGAGGCAAACAACAGCACGACACATCTCAAACTCGAACCTTCCAAGGCAACAACAGCACAGCACATCAACTCAAACCTCCCACGGCAAACAAAAGCACAACGCATCTTAACACCAAACCTCCCGAGTCAACAACAGCGCACACCATCTCAACTCAAACCTCCCGAGGCAACAAACCAGCACAGTACATTCAAACTCAAACCTCCCCACGGCAACAAAAGCACAACGCATCTTAACACAAACCTCCCGAGGCAACAAACAGCACAACCATCTCAACTCAAACCTCCCGAAGGCAACAACAGCACAACACAATCAACTCAAACCTCCCCAACCCAACGAAAGCACAACGCATCTTAACACAAACCTCCCGAGGCAACAACAGCATCAGCAAATCTCATCTCGAACATCCCGAGACCGGGTGCGTTGCCTTGCCCGCCACGCCAGCCGTGATCGCCGGGCGGAGGGAGATGGAATTTAAAGAATTTGGAGGAATTTTCCCCGCATTCTCGCAGCGGGCTGCCAGCTGGTGCTCCAGTTCTTCGCCGGCGCGGCGAGCCCGGTCAGTACAACACAGCCAACGACGCATAACCGGCACTGCACGGGAAACATTCCCAGCGCGCGACAGCACCTGGCAGGTGTAGCACACGGCAAGTGACGCCGTTGACATTGTTTTCCCGGGAGGTTAGATCTGTTTGGCAGTATTCACTAGCCAGCAGCGGCGGGCCGCACAGCTGCAAAACTGGAGGAGGGAAGGAAACAGCGCGTGGTTTCTTTCATTTGCTTTCAATATCCTCTCTCAGTGACGAAGTTTGTAATGTGGTTGGTTGGGGGGAATCCCCACAGTCGAGAATAAAGTGAGCCAAATATAAGATGAAACTCGATTATTGGACTATTTTGGTAAAAAGGTCGTCGTTTTTTGCATTTCTCAGCCTACCTCCCACCTTGCGAAACCGCACCCCTGCCCCCCCCTTCTCTCGTCGTTTGCTCAAGCTCGCCACACATTTTTCGCGGGTGCGGGTCTCTGCTCTTCCCCCCCCCCGCACCACCAAATCCTGCACTCTGACGACGCCTCTGCAGTTGCGAAGTGACGTCACGAGTGCTGCTCCAGTCGGGGTCGGAGATTTGTGTTTTTGTTTTTGTTTCGTCTGCCTCGCTAGTCTGGTCTGCCGGTGGATTATTTCAGTGGTAAGCCGCCGCGCTCGCTTGGCACAGGCCAGGCCCGAGCTCTGCTGTGTGGCCATCAGGTGCCGATTGATTGGTTTATCATTGATGCCATTGCTTCGGAAGACGGGTAATGACTTCCGCATTCGCTGCTTTCATAATTTCGTAGCCCGGACACCAGGCATGTACTGGGATGGGAAAGAAGATGCAAGGACCATTCAGCATGTGAATATCAGACATTGCCAAGACCTCATATACGGTCATTGAAGCCACGCAAATATCTCGCCGGGAAACCCAACGGCCCAGCAACTGATATGGTCAAAACCACAATAATAAATGGCCGCATCTGACCAGCAAAACAAACCGGCGTCGGTATCCCCGAAACGGCCCAACAAGATCGAAACATCGACGCCTGGTACCGGCCGCCCCCGGTCATCGGCCATCGCCTCGGGGCTAAGCCGCCGCGACCCAGTGGCAACCGGCCTGAGGCGATATAATTAGCCCAATCTGCTGAGCGCCTGTCAGCGGTGACCTTGACAGCCCCCGCGGGGCGAGCGAGCCCTCTGCCAACAAGAGGAGGGGAGGGAGGGGGCCGGCCCGGCTCAAATGGCCGGCAGCGTCTTTGGCGTGAGCTTGGCGCATGCTAATGCGGCGAGGAGCGATGTGTTCGCGACGAATTCGACGCTCTCGGTCGGAATTTGAAGCAGCCGTCAGACGCGCGTGGCCCGCTGGCGGCGACGGTGGCGCCGCCTACCGCAGTGACGGGTTACTACTGACCAGACGGCGTCACGCCTGACGCGCCTGGGAGCAAAACAAAAAATAAACAAAAACGAACGGTGCTCCCGCACGTGATTTGCAGCTGTTCAAATGTTTTTCCACAGTTAATTTCATGTTTTTCTGATAGGATTTCTCGCAGTTGCTCGACAGGATGGACCCAATATGTCAGGTCGTGTTTTGACCGTTTTCACTTGTTTGTTTGTCCACGAAGACAAGAGTAGGCTGCGATAAACAGAGTGCGCAGTTTGCATTCCAGTTGTAATGTGGTGTCATTTAGTCCATGTTACGCCTTTTTATAAACTCGACCTCGGCCGAGTGTTACACTCACAACGTTAAGTACCGCGACCGTATCGGTTGGTGTAGACGGCCTTACTTGCACGATTGTTGGCAATAATTTAGTGTCCACGTACGCCATCCTGACCTTAACTGACCATTTTCGCCAGCAGGGCACATGTCTGTCCTTTTGTGGTGAGATGACAGCTCTTGTGGCTGATTTCACAAAGCGTTCCGTGACTTGGCCCATACACACCCCTGGACTCACGATGAACTGCGAAAGCCTGTTGGCACCGGTTGCCGTTAGTCACCTCGATCATTCCGTACCATCAGTGCCACCACCTGTCGTGATCGTATGGTGCATACGGTACCAAAAGTACGCTGTGAAGGAATTATCTTCATTTTTTCTTTCCTCCCCAGACATCGCGGGACTATATCACATCCCGGTGGAATGTGACATAATAACATGATATAGTATAACGATATGATATATGCAACATAATATAATAATATATGTGATGTTTAAATGGGAGGAAATGGAGAAGTGTTTTCCAGGTGTCAGAAGACTGGTGATTCATCTGACGCGATGATGAGTTCATCATGATGCACCGAACGGCTCGGGGATGCGTAAACATCCGGAAGGGATTGCATCAGCATTCCTATCCCACCGGGGAAAGGAGGGGAGGCGGGGGGGGGGGGGCATAAGCACCGGGCCCATCACGAACGCCATGGACTCCAGAGACCCGTCCAAGGTCGGTTCCTGTCGCCAGCTCCGCCATGACCACTGACACTGACAGTGACACTGAATCACGCGCACTATGACGGCAACAGTGACGCTGGCACGCCCAAATTTGTCACGTGGTCTTGTAACCGGCACAAACAAGCGAGCAATATTTTTGCATTTCGAAATCATACTTTTATGCTGTCAAAAGCGATATCAGATCAAATGGAGACAGCCTACTCGGGAACGATTTGTGCGCTCCGTTCACGTGACGTATGAACGTCATTCACCAAGGTCATTAAAGGGTAATGCCGTTCGCCAAGGTTTCCGTTATGTCAACCTGCATATCGCAGATGGGCGTAACAAAGCATTTTGGCTGTGTTAATTATATCATGAGCACATGATGTCTGTTTGGAGGGTCAGGTTAGAGGTTGAAGGTCAGGTAACAGCCGTCAGGTCTCCGGGTGTGACCTCATGTATTGTGCATGACTTCGAACGGAGGCGGTCACCCAGTCCATTAAACACACTTAAAGCATCAAAAAAGAAGGAAGCTGCAAAAAAAACCACGTAGAGTCAAAAATCGCATCGGTGAGCCTCATTGATGACCCCATAACTTGCCGCGCTGACCTGGCATCGGAATTCCTATTCGTCCTGAAAGCGTAAATTGGTCATCTGTCAACGTGTAAATTACTCCTGAAACTCAGACGGGGCGCTTCTAACGCCACCTAGGCGGCCACCATTCAACGCTTCTTCAGACAAAGC